GTAAATACTGACTCAATCGTACAAACTTATAGTTATTAGCCACTGTAATACTGTATAGCACTATTCAGTTTAAGTGCTTTGATTCAAACCTGAATTCATGCAACTGACAGTAATTCAACACTCAGTTGTAAATAAAAGTTATTCTTGGAAATATTTGACTACTTGTGTGGGGATTTTTGTATGGTTTTATGTATTCATCCCTACCTCGGTTCAGTACTTTTCAGCATTCCCTTCTCTACATCATACTTAATTTTTGCAAATGTTTTTATTACTTGTTAACCCTCGTTTTTTAAACAATTTCATTGAAGTAGGTTGTTGAGTGAACATTGTTTAAATTTTATAATTCATTGGTAATATATATTGTTAATATTGTATCAGTTTTGTCAGTTTCTTCATTGCAATTGTATTGATTTTATAACATACAATTGGCTACAATAGATTATTAATCATCACTGGTCATAATCTTGACTTCTTGGGATTTAATGTTGAGGAACTTACAGTAAGGAAAGAACATATAAAAAATGTATAGCTGTATCATTCCTTTGCAGACTTACAACGCTAAAACCGGGTTTCGATACCCGTGGTGGGCAGAGCACATATAGCCCATTGTGTAGCTTTGTGCTTAACTTTAAACAATAACAACAACAAACAGCAATAACAAGTATCATTCCTATATTCATGTTTGCATTCTTTTTGTCATTGCCATCCCAACATCATTTTACATTTACAAAATGTGTTTTATTACTTGTTTTGTGACATTTTCCCCCCTGACTGAAAGTTAGCGTATTCTATGAATATGTGTAATAAAACTTAATAGTATGTGTGTGTTGATTTTTTTTACTCATTCACTTCACACGTGATATAGCGGTTGGCTCCCTAAAGACACCGATTGTACAGTGTACAAAGTATTGAATATTCTGTATGATACGGTCATCTAATGTTTATTTATCATTGGCTGGTAATTCCTGTTTCACCCTGCTTTAAAGGAACATCATATTTATGTAAGAAAGCTAACTTCGAGGGATAATAATAACATTGTTTACACTAGAATTGTGATTGTTTTTAGCTTATACTAAGGACTACCATGCTTAATGCGAAAACTTTCTACATTTTTGGGCTAGCGTGGGAAAAGAAAAAAGAAAGAGGAACACTTTGGCTCTTCAGCTAGTTCCAAGTTCTCCACTTGAACAACACTTTTCAATAACATTGAGAGTCTCGCGAGCTGTGAAAAACTCGATAATGGTAATTAGGTGCTCAAATAAGGCTATATCTAGCAGTTATTTGTAAGCATCATAAAGTAATAGACTGAATGTGGCAGCCATTTTTTCTCGGCCCATCCCTACACACTAAGCACTACTGTGCTTAGTGATATATATTTTTGATATGTTTTTGTTCTAATAGAGATAAAACTCAAGATAAAAAAAAAGAGAAAGCCAAACAGATCTGTCTGTAACTTTAGCAATACATTCACAAATATGCAAGTTATTTTAAAAGGTGGTTCACATTAATTAAACATATCTTTTAGCTAGGCTGACTCTGTAGTAAAATACGGTATTCACTAATAATAGTAATCAAATTTACAACTCATTCACTTGTACCGAGAGTCTGAGCTCGGACTAACACATCAGTTGCGGTATTATGTTGCTTTGTAATGAACTGATTCACTTTTTACAGACAGCTAGAAGCGTTAGGGATAAAGAATGATCCAGAAGGGCAGTACTAAAACGGAGTTTCTTTTTGGAGATGGTGATGTTCATTCCCCTCTACACCAGGCTAGTACTCCAATGAACGTTTACCACTCTTTTCTCACTCAGTTTGAATGACTTTTTGTCAATAAATCGACGATAATAAGTAGGATGATAGCCTACGTCTGAGGGAATATCAGTGAAATCCACAGACTGGAACTATATATTAGAAGTTGCGAAGTCGTGAACGTTACTGTCTAAACTGAGTCAGTTTCTTAAACAGTTTTTGTAAATTCCTCATTAGGTGGCTGTAAAATGTTACACGGCTTCTTTTCTGGAGATATAATAAAAGTCGAAATGGAACTGGAACTCACTACTAAAAGACAGTGCACCAGTCGGAACTCCGGCCGGAATGGAACCGGAACTCACTACTAAAAGACGGTGCACCAGTCGGAACTCCGGCCGGAATGGAACCGGAACTCGTTACTAAAAGACGGTACTCTTGCCGGAACTCCGGCCGGAACGGAACCAGAACTCACTACTAAAAGACGGTGCACCTGCCGGAACCCTACCAATAATATGATACTGTATATCCATGTGAAGTATAATTAAGACAGACCTGACGACCGTTTGGTGGTGAACACATCCCAGCTGTGATTTTTTTATGAACTTTGATTCCGACATGGCAAATGTTTTGAGCCCTTAAATGATTAAGTGATACGACCATGATACATCCTTGTTTACAAAATACTGCTCTTTGATTGGTCTACTTGACGTATTCATACGTAATTTGCATACAGAAATCTCTTCTACATTGTATTACTCGAGTGCAGAAATTTCGATACAAAACCAAAAATACCAGAGGGATTACACGAGTAGAACTTTTAATATAAGTATGAAAAGACGCCTATCAATGGATTCACATTTTAACTTTTCAGATCTTCGGTCTTTGAAACAGGATTTATAGATAAGTAGTATGAGCTGAATGGCCTACTCTAATAACCGACAGGTAAATTCAAAAGTATCTGTAAAACTCAGGTTCCGGAAATATTACGCAGATAATAAATCGAACACTGACGAGAGGAAAGAAACACTCAAAGAAATAAAACAAAATTTTTATTTAACTCTTACTAGATGGGGTGAGAGTGTTGCTCCTACACTCATCCATACGTGACAAAGACAAAGAGAATTCTATATAACACCATACAAGATAAAAACAATAGGAATTCTGATTTACTGTTCGAAGTTCAGACAAAACATTAAAGTGCGTTATACTAGAAATCAACGTTGCATACGTCACTGTCTGTTCCAAATATACTTATAGGTGAAAATACTACAACCCTAACTCATATCAACTTGTACAAGTGTCTGCGCCTTCCCTTGAGATGGGTTCACCACTCCTCAAGGGGGTCAGGTATAGGGCCAAAATGATACAAGTTTCTAGTCGTTGACATATGGAAGTATAATGATTAGTACATGTTAACGACCTTTGACATTCCGTTAACAAAAATATCCTACTACATGCAAAAACCTGCACACGAACATTTAGAAAAATCAGTTGGATATATATATAAATAATATATAATTAGTCATATATATATATGACTAATAGTATATTATAAATTGATTATGGAAGTGCGAAATTCATGACTATTTTTGCCATTATTGTAAGTTACCTACGACACCTAATTTTGTAACAGATGCCACTGCCATTTCACATCTTAATTACACTCATTATATTATTTACATTCGCTATCGATTGCTGCGAATTTCCAATGCTAGATGTCAATCTAAATCAATATATTAGCAGTAGACAGAGTTCAGTCAGTAGGAACGTAAAGATAGCACCTGAAATACAGATGGAAGTAAAACATTAATAGAAACTGCACTTTTGATTATTACGTACACTGCGTAGCTAGATCTGAAGACATAAACAGACGATAAAACGCTTACTTCTATGTTGATTGTTGCTGTTAGGCCGGAGATAACTTTAAACTGTTATGAATATGTAACCTATACGTACATCTTTACTCATATTAAATAAAAAAGCGCAAAGCTACAAAATAGACTATCTGTGCTCTGCCAAATTCGGGTATCAATATCCGATTTTAACGTTATAAGCACTCACGCTTACTGCTGAGCCACTGAGGGACAAAGGAAACAAAAAGGGGGGGGGGCTTCAACCCTACGAAAGTTGGATCTGTATGACCCCTGATTTTGTTAATTACTAGTTTTCGTACTTTGTAATAATACATAGATCATTTTATATTTTAATAGATAATGGAAACTTTTAGTACAATAGTATACCTTTTAGACATAATATACTTTGGGGGTCTGTGTGATCCCACCAAAAATCACATTAATAGTCAAGGGTTTAAAATGTCTTATTAATGACGGTAGGATAAATGAATTATTTAATTATAAACTTTAAAATACTTTAATTCAAAACAATGAAGCTAAATTTTGATTACGCTACGGAAATTTTAAAACCACAAAACTTTCAAAGTGCACATTCATGGTCAGGGTGCAAAGAAAATATATTCTCTTACTTCTAATCCCCCCCCCCCTCCAGTGGCGCAGCGGCATGTCTGCGGTCTTATAACTCTAGAAACCGGGTTTCGATACTCGTGGTGGGCAGAGCACAGATAGCCCATTGTGTAGGTTTGTGCTTAACTATAAACAAACTTTCTTGTAATAATTATGAGCAAAGAAACGAACATCTACGTAATTAAAGGAAGTGCCCCGTTATGTAAAAACTTTAGTATAATACTTCTGGTTATAACGTTTCACTAGGTTAACCTGGCGAAATACTGTAACCATTAATAGCATACTCTGTATATCCGAAATTTAAGTTATAAAAAACTCTATACTCGACATATTTCCCAGAAATTATAGAGATAAAACTTTGCTAGATGCTCTGCATTCCATGAAACTTTTAATTTCAAATGAATAAGTTCCTGTACCGCTTGTTTTATTTTCCCTCAGAGTGTTAAAAGATTGGAGGTTATTACCCCTGTTTGTTTTTCGTGGGCCCCATTACATTCGTTCTTTTTTTATGTACTGACTAGATCTACGTACAAGGCCGTGGTGATATAGACATATATAACTTTCTTCATTTAGTGAACGTTTTATGAATACGTCAAAGTACGTTACTATTTAGAGAATAATAATCATCAACATTTTTTTTTTCAGTAATGTTTTCATCTCCTATGCTGGGGGGAAAAAAGAGCAACCTTCAGCCACGAAAAATCACTCGATTCTCCCCTCACTCGAAGTCGACTTGTCTGAATTGGTAACAGTGGACACAAACCAGTACTAGCGGAACCAAATACTTCAACGCTTATTAGATACCTCGGAAAGGACGCGTTGTTTGGAGATTGACTGCGAATGTATGAAACGCAGCCGTTAGCTGTCTATGGCAGTTCCATACACTGAGATTGTCATGGAAGAACAAAGCAAGGAAACTCGTAGGGAGAGAAGCGCCAGCTATGGGTACAACATAAATGGTAAGGCAATTAACATAATATTACATATATAATAATATTAATATTTCATCAGCACACATAGAATAAATTATATTTTATGGATAGCTTTGTCATTTGAATTGACGTCTTATGTAAATATGTGTAAACTGTTTAGAATTTTTAAGCAACTTTCCAAACAAGGACGATTATTGTGATTGGCCAGTTTATAAATAGGATTGATCAAGCTATGATACTGATAATTTGTATGAGTGGAGTGATATGTTCCAACTAGTGCAGAGAGTGTGAAACGAGTTGATAAAGAACGCAACTTTTCTTCTATTACGTAAGGTGGCGCGTATGGCCTTAACTGAAGGTTATCCGATTCCCAGTATTATTACGTATGCATAATATTGTTTGCTATGTTGCAATTCGAAAGACAAATTGCGCACGTATACATAATTTCACTTCGTTGGTTGGTTGGTTGGTTGGTAGTTTATTTATTCTTTACACGTATCTAAAGTAAAAGGTGTTTTCGTTGAAAACAAACGGGGAATCACTAAAAGTGAAATCTCTTACTCGGAATTCTATTTAAATATCGACCCTTCTGTATCAGAATGTATATAAAAATATCAGTATTAGCCAAACCGTTAAAGGATTTTCGACTGATGGAACAAAAAATGCCACGGAATTAGTTTTATTATAAGTTGTCGATTCTATAAATGCGCTTTTAATTCAAAATTAAATTTTATATTATAACATTCAATTAAGATTACTTAAGTAACAGAAAACGCCAAGTATTATGCAAATTAAAACTTAAAAATATTTGCCTTATTTTGTAACGCATTTATTAATATTACCCCTAAAATAACTATTCAAGGCATCAGTTTTCAACTGGTGGAGAGCTTTTGAATAATTCTTTAAAAATTACAAAATTAATAATTTTGAAAAAAAAAAAATTACTGTACCGGAATGTCATGGGGGGGGGGGGGCACAAAACTAAAAAATCTTTACGATGGGGCTTGACTAAAAAAGGGTGAGAACCCCTGATTTAAGGTATACATTGATGCCTAGTAATATCAATGACCCATAAGCTTTAAGCACTAAAATCATAAGATAACTGATTATGAAGAGATCTTTTAATACGATTTTTTAAATATATCAAACTGATGATACAATGAAATGCCTTTTTAGATGAAATCAGTGTCAAAATTATTTTCATTCATAAGTAGATGTCCTCATTCCCGGAAATTTTTTTTATTATTATTTTCGACAACCGGGAAATTCTTTCAGCTATGCATGGGATCTCGGGAATTCCCGGCTAATTTTTTAAAACTGTTTTCAAAGTGGTGATGAAGATCACATGTGGTCTAAGTCTTCTCTAAATAAATAATTTTAAAAATTCATTTTATAACACACAAATAAAAATTTATGTTTCGTCTTTTTCAAAAAATAGCATTTGAGGAAGCACAAGGCATTAATAGCTTTATATTTAAGAGTTGATCATTGCTTAATTAAAAGGTTTCCTGAGGTTAAAAACTCTCGTTCACTTTCTGTTGAAGTGGGTTTGATTATTTTTTAATCCATTTGAGAGTTTCTGCAAATTATCTGTTAGCTTTACAGTCAACTCGTACATTCCAATTTCCTTGTTTAAAAATTTATTGTAAACCGAAATCAAGACCTTAGTTTTCATTGTAGTATTGGTCTCATTTTGAACTATCAGATTTGTCTTCAACATCTTATTTCTTTTTCTTCACTCGTATCAATTCCACTCAAGGTTTTTTCCCTTGAGTGGAAAATATTAATTAGATCGTCAAGAAATTAATGTCGCTTTTTTTTTTAGATTAAAAAATTCTAACAACTTGTATATCAAAACAAAACATTTATTAAATGAAATAGTCTCCATTC